GAATAACTAGCATCAAAACTGCACACTTGACATTTGCTTTTGCTGTGCCGGCACTTTCGAAAACTTAGTTGCCTTCTATAGTAACTTTTAACTAGATTTTCTAAAGAAAATGTAAGTGGGGCTTGCCTGTGCAAAAACGCAGTCACTAGAGTATTCTGGGTGGTTGCTAGGGATCTGTGTCACTCCCAAATGTCTATGATAATCTCTAAATAATCCATATTATTTGAGCAATCATTCAAGTTATTGAGGTGCTTGCTTTATTAGGTTTGATCTTCAGTAACTTCTCCAAGCCTGATGGCACATCCTAATCTGTTACATAGGATGAAAAAAATCTCAATCCTACTCTGTGGGCTTCTCTCTCTCTAATCTTGCTTCTGCACCCAAACAAAGAGTAACTTTCCATAATAACCCCCTTCACTGCTCAAGGATCTCCAAGGCAAGGGATTAAAACTTTATTGTGGTCAGCTTAGTCTGCTGGCTTTTGTCCTCATCTCGAACAATTACAACTCAAGAAAACCATGAAGTAGATTTAGTACAATGTTTTATTTACCGTCTAACTGATAGAGCTCCATTGAAAGTCAATGGGAAAAAAAATAAATCAATAAAGTGCCTCCAATGACTTTGACTGAATGAAAATTAAATGAATGTGGATAATAGGGCATCATCTTAAAGGGATTTGTCCTCATTTTCTCATCCTCATGTTGTTCCAAAACATAAAAGAATATATTTTGAGATTAGGTTAGTTTTTTTTTTTCATGTCTGCACAATGACAATCAATAGGATCCAAAGTGATTTGGTTCCTCAAGTTATTTAAATGATCTTATTTTGTGTTCTGCAGAAGAAAGTCAAACGGGTTTGGAACAACATGAGGGTGAGCAAATGATGACAGAATTTTCATTTTTGGGTATATTTGTCCCATGAAAGAGAACGTTGCCCACTGAAAGGCCTTCAGATTAACATCTATTCTTATTGCACAATTGGTGCAACTGCAAATCACTTGCAAGACCTTGTACTGTTACATAAAAATGTTGTATCACTTGAAAGCCATGCAAATGACCTATACACTCTACATGATTATGTAATCTTAAAACTTCAACAATGGTAAATGATCAAAGAGCTCAGTTATGACACTCGATATGACGTGTATCTGATCTATGAGAATCATTTTTCCACTTCTTCCTTATAGACAGCTCTCAGTTATCATTTACTGGCCAAATAACAATACCTTCTAATAAGTAACATCGTATTGCTAATTTACTATGCATGAATGAATAGCATTAGTATTATTATTTATTAAGTAATCAGGCCTTCACTATCTATGATGTAATGGAATTTGGCTAATGCAGCTGATCACAGGTGCCGTTCCCCAAAAGGCGGAAAACATGTTTGACTGTCCTAATGTCTGACAGGTCAGACTGGAAGCAATGTGAAAACCAGTGAGACCCGTGATGCAACACAAAGAATATCTGATTTAAAAAAAATGTAAATGTCCTCAAACGTTTCAGAAGGGTTGTTCATTTCCCCACCAAACAATATGTTGTTATGGGCACATATCCACAAAAAGTGGCCTGGTCGTCAAACTATGTGCAATGAAACTTGCCATAAGAAAATGTGAAAATTAGCTTCTCTGTGGACATGTTCTGCTGGGAATATAATATTGGTAACTAGTAGAATATTATTAAGTTATACAAAAATGTACTCTATGAAATCCAATTCATACAAAAATTGACTTGAATACACATCTGCTATGATGAACATGTTTTTAATTGTTGAATTAAAAGTCATTTTGATAGCTTTTGTGTGGATTAAAGTCAAAAATCAAAATGTCAAATGTGGTTGGCTATAACTTTCCAGCCAGAGATTAAAAAAAAAAAAAAAGGCAAAGTCAAAAGTATTAAACTCCTAAAAACTATTAATTTCTGTAAACTCAAGTGTATTTAAAGTCCAGTTAAAGTATTTTAGTTCAATGGTTACACTACTTGACATTTTGAGAGTTACTGAATCAGAATATAAGTGGAAATGTTTTAGGCCTACAAACATTCTTTCAAAAATGTATGTAACCAACATGAATGTGAAGATACAAAATATTTATATAAAAGTGTATTTTAAAAAGTGGATTTATCATCTTTAATGATCTCGAACATCCTTATTTGACATTAACCTACATATACACATATTTACTATGTCATGCTAGGAATTATATACCCAAAGTGTACGGGGACACCTGTCAAACTTGACTCATGTGCAGTAAAGTCAAAAATAAAAATGTCAAATGTGGTTGGCTATAACTTTCCAGCCAAAAATTAAAAAAAAAAAAAAAGGTCAAGTCAAAAGTATTAAACTCCTGAAAAAAGTCAAGTCAAAAGTATTAAACTCCTGAAAACTATTAATTTCTGTAAACTCAAGTGTATTTAAAGTCCAGTTAAAGTATTTTAGTTCAATGGTTACACCACTTGACATTTTGAGAGTTACTGAATCAGAATATAAGTGGAAATGTTTTAGGCCTACAAACATTCTTTCAAAAATGTATGTAACCAACATGAATGTGAAGATACAAAATATTTATATAAAAGTGTATTTTAAAAAGTGGATTTATCATCTTTAATGATCTCGAACATCCTTATTTGACATTAACCTACATATACACATATTTACTATGTCATGCTAGGAATTATATACCCAAAGTGTACGGGGACACCTGTCAAACTTGACTCATGTGCAGAAGTCTCAACTTCTCTCGCATCTTAAGATCCAAAATGATCTTTTAAGGGATGGAAATTTGCTCATAAAAGCTGTTCGTTTAGTTGAACTCACCTTGGAGCTCACGCTCAGTCTATCCGTGCGTATGTCCCCGTTTGTTTCCGGGACAGGGGTGGACTCCCTTGGTGTCTCGTTCTTCACTTCGTCTTCATGGTCCGATCCAGCACTGCTCGCTATCGGTATGCCATCAGTCACATACTCTTTCTGGCACTTCAAGTTGTGCTTCTGCAGCAGTTCTGCGGTCTCAGAATCCATCACGATGAGCTCTAGCTGGTCCGTGATGTCTCGTATGCGGGACACCACCTGTTGATGCTTCTCGTCCTCCACATTCTCCCCGTTCACGAACACCAGTTTGTCCCCGGCCAGCAGACCCGCGGCGGCGGCCGGGGAGTCGGCCTCCACATGCCGAATGAACTGACCTGGCTTGTTCTTTTCGCCGTGGAGATGAAACCCGTAGCCGTTATCCCCTTTTTCTAAGACGCACAGCTTTGGCCTGAGGTCGCTGGACATTTTAAAACTTTAAGACTTACAGATACACAAAAGCAGCAGTCCGGCTAAACTGAAAGTCGGAGGCAACAACGAAAAGTAGTTATGTGAAGAGAAAACTCCCACTCCGCCCACTCTGCGTCTTCACTGTGTTGCAACGCTACAAGTCAAATCGCAGTTTTCTTTGAAGTGTAGACAGTCAGCGCTTCACGGACCCGCCTCCGTCTGTTGCTCTCACTGATTGGAACGTTCACCTGTCAATCAGAAGAACGTCATGGCGCGAGTTCTCTGGCACGGTAAAAGGGGCTCTGAGTGTTTTTTTTTATTATTATTATTATTTATTTTGTTCTACATTGTGACTGCTTTGATCTTTGTCTATATAATGTTCTTAATAAAAAAAAAATTAAAATAAAAAAGGGGCTCTGGGACTCACAACCAGAAACTGTCTTGCATCTTTTTGGCATTGTGTTCATACAAGGACACTTTGGCAAGACATTTGCCAGTTCATTGTTAACTTCATAAATAATGACACTGATGTTTTGTTTGGATCTTTCACTTTTGGGAAGCAATATGAAAAGGTTTACTTTCTTTGCAACCTAATTATTTTGCTTGCAAAATATTTTATTCACAAATGCAAGATTATGAAAGTTACCCCCATTTTTTTCTTACTTTCAAGAAGATATTAAGTTCTATACTAAATCCTTGTCTACCAAAAAGGCAACTAAAACTTTGAATGTATGCTCACTTTTTGTTTTTGAATACTTTTTTGTTTAATTTTTATGTTTTGTGTGAAAGTTTATGTTTATTGTTATGTGATCTGTTTAAATTTTTTCCATTTATTTATTTATTTTTAATGTAATTGTTTTTTTTGTTATTTTATTTTTTATTATTTCTCTCTCTCTTTCTCTTCTGAATTTTAATTGCTATGTATTATTTGGCCATCCTTGAACCCCTGGCTCTTTTCCTTGGGATTTAAAAAAAAAAACTGTTTAATAAAATAAGTAAATAAAATAAAGGGGCTATGGGAAGTACAAGCAAAAAGTAAATAAAGAAAAAGAGATTGCTTTTATTTCATGTAGAAATTTTATATTATTTTTTAACTAATATGGATAGGTAATTGAAGTACCTTTTCATTTTTATTATTGTAATTTAGTTTAATCTTTTAAAACCAGATAAACCTTCTAACATTATTGTATTGTCAATTATTATTTGGTTGTGATATATTCTAAAAGTCTTAAACAGTTTCTCTATAATAATCATGATATATCCAATATCCAAAATAGTTCTGTGATGAATTCATGATTGCATCAGGACATAGTTGGAATTACATGGCATGCTTCTGCATTACAAGGTCGAATAAAATGGTAACATTTTGCCATATAAATTCCTAGTACACCTCTGTTATGTGTAGAGTAACAGTCATTCATATCAATAAGCAACATCATTATGATCTGATTTTTGAATGTACTATAGCTTTGATGAGAAATATCTATACCAACACCAAAGGTTTACCCATCAAGGAATTTCTCACATTATAATCAAATCTTGTTACTGAGGAAACCTTTTGCTTTCTTCCATGCAATAAAAAAAGATACAAATTTGCTTGCAGAGATTATCTGCCAGTTGACATACCTGAGCAAAGTTATGAGAATCACACCCTAAATTGTGTTACTGTTTAATCACAAATGGGATTTAGTCTTTTAAGTGTCAAACTTAAATATACTAAAAGTTCAAAGAAAATCTCTGTAGCATTGTGTGATCATGTGCCTTTTAAATTCTTGTGTGAATATCAAGAGACTCAATAATAATGTTATTACTACCTTTGGCTTCACACGTGTCTGAATTCACTATAGTGGTTAATGGCTCAAAATTAGTCAAGCAAGGAAGAGCATGCATGTTTGTGCAATGAGGCAAGATTGCTTCATATGAGAAATTAGAATTATCCTTAATGTTACACAGTGCAAAATCATAAACTGTATTTTAAGGCATTTCTCAATGAATTTCAGTAACATTTTGTGCACTATATCTGAAAATACAAACATTTCAGATATAAATATATCAATAAGAAAATCAGCTTACCACTTCAATGACTGCAGTGTGGAGCTGCAGCACATAATGTGGCTAGTATGATGAATTTTATGACAAAGAAACATTGTGACAGAGCAGCCAGTTGCAACAAGCTCACACAGTTGTAACCGCTCGCAAAGAGGTTATCGCAGTAGTTGATGCATACTGGGCACAGTGTGAGGGATTTGAGGCCCCCAACTGCCATCCATCCATCCATACGCAGTGATGTATTCTGCCATCTAGTTTCTCATTTGAAAACCAATAATGAACACTTAATACAGAAAAGTTTGTTTTCATGTCAATATAAGACATTTATAAACACACAGTAATTTATAACCAGACCCAGATGGAATCTGTGGACAAATTAGATGCTTTCTGTGCTGTAGTAATACTTTTTTGGTAGGTGAAAGCGTAATCAAATTGGTCAAAATATATATATTTTTTATTTTAAAAAAGTAATTAAGCTTTAATTGATGATTGGTATTCTTTAATTAATTCATTGCACCAATATGTATTAGTTTTGTACTTTCTACAGTTGTTTCGTAGTTATAGTCATACACAAAATTCCATCAATATTTCCTTCAGTGCATATTAACAGGGTTCAGTAATTAATAGAAATAATACTCAGGGCTTTTTGCCTTGTGTTATTGCTATTGTCCTTTTAATAACACGGCTGGTTGCCCAACCATGCATGACATCATTTAGGTGTAACATGAGTGAATGCTCCAGAAAACTAGTCAACGAATGCAAATCTTCTCATTAGTAAAGCAGAGTCCGATCACTGCATAGAACAGGAAGCCTGTTTGGTCCTCTGTTCAACTTTTCTTTTACTGCAGACACATTGCATCCGTGTGAGCCCAAGATGGCATCAAACAGTCAGTCTTGATTGGTGCTGTTAATGCCCAGCTTGGTTCCAGATATGTGGGAATGCAGTGCTGACTTCCAATCACCACTGCATATCAGAATTTAGCATATGAGAGGGCGGCTGCGTGTGGTTCTTGTACTGAGTGTGGAGGCATTGCTGCGCATGCGGGGAGTCGTGGCAGTCCAGCCAGTCCTGGTAGAGGCGCTGGACCTCTGGGTTGCTTTCAGGCAGTCGGACAGGTAAGCTGCTATAGTGGTCTTCCATTTGCTGGACCAAAGTTCGGTCAGGACGACCTCCCTCTCCCTCAGCTTGTCCTCGTCCACTTAAACAGCCTGAAAGTCAAAAAGAAGGAGAGATAAAAAAGGAAACTGTACTTTTACTGTCAACGATGAAACATTTTTCAATGCACAAATAATTAATAATGCTAATAATTTAATATCACAAATGTATTTATATCTGATATTTAATGATGGCATACGAGACTTCTTTCAAAAACATAAGAAACATTGACCCCAAACATTGACTATATTTCTATAACTTTTCTAGGCTTTTTTAAAAGTTTTCTATTACCATGCAAACCATAGAATATGTTCAAGCTTATTTTTTATAAATGACAGCACCTATTAAGTTAGCTAAAAACCACAACAAATTTGATTTAATATTTGTAATTTTGTTTGTTTTTATAGGTATTGCATACCTCCGGGGCAGGAAAGCACCTCTACTAGCTGGTAGGGCACTTTGCCTTTCCTCATTCTGTGCACTAAAGTCTGAATGTTCCGGAAGCCATAAACTGCAGCAAACTGCAGGAGAGTCTCTCCATTATATTTCTATAACTTTTCTAGGCTTTTTTAAAAGTTTTCTATTACCATGCAAACCATAGAATATGTTCAAGCTTATTTTTTATAAATGACAGCACCTATTAAGTTAGCTAAAAACCAAAACAAATTTGATTTAATATTTGTAATTTTGTTTGTTTTTATAGGTATTGCATACCTCCGGGGCAGGAAAGCACCTCTACTAGCTGGTAGGGCACTTTGCCTTTCCTCATTCTGTGCACTAAAGTCTGAATGTTCCGGAAGCCATAAACTGCAGCAAACTGCAGGAGAGTCTCTCCATCACGCTCTAGCGCTACCTCCTGGAAGTCTCGATTCCTAGCAGGAATAAGACAGGTGTTTACAAAGCTACTGAAAGATAATAATAATAATAAGGATCATTGGTTAGTAATGCCTACATATTCAGAATTTCTGAATAATAAAGATTACCCATATCCATTTACAGTCATCAAAAACTCACTGGTCTATCTCTCACCTGAGTGTCTTGTACACAATCTCTTGGACGTCAATGCCAAACAGCTCTTTGGCTGCATGTTTGAAAATGTGCTCCAGGAAGCCTTCAGATCCACGACCTTCATGCCTGGTCATACCTGGGTCACTGGTCTCACCAAATCTAAAACAAACACACACATTTCAGGATTATTATCCAGCCTCATTACCCTCTTGTGTGCCTCTTACGTGCAAGACTCTGATTGCCTTTGCTTTAATAGGATAAATGTAAAGAACTATGGGATTGTTTATTTTAACCCCAATATAATGGTGCTAATTTTACTTACACATGATCCAAAGGAGCAGAGTCCACTTCCTCAACAGTAACTTTGCTTTGTTCCATTAAGTGGAGAATCTCTCCTAAAAAAAAACAACAAAAAAAGGGGAGTCATTTATTGATATTTCAGGAGTCCAAAGATCACAAAAACATCCACCATTGATACCTGTGCAACATACAATAAACCTTGCCGATCATTTCCAAGAAGGAAAGATAGACAGGGAAATATTATATTACGATATTATATATTTTTGGTCTATCTGCACACTAATAAACATATCTGTACATTTATCTAAACAATTACATTTTTTCCAATACTTCTATTTCTGTATATAGTACTTAAAAAAAAAATAATAATAAATTTATATTAGTGTTATATTACATCCCTACTGTGTTATTCCTATGCATGTCTGCACTATCATGTATGTCTGCACTATGTTTGTACTTTCTTCTACACTGGAAGCTCCTGTCGTCAAGTCAAATTCCTTGTGTGTGTAAACATACTTGGTAATAAAGCTCTTCTGATTCTGAGGAGAAATAAATCTATATCATTTGGCCTAAACCAGTTGCTTGTTAATAATTGATCTGAAAAGGTAACAGGAGAATGAGCCCAGTGTCTCCTCACAGTCTTACCTGACGTAAGCACACAGTCGACATCTCTGGTCTCTAGGATGCTGTTGTAGAATTCCTCTCTCACAGCTTCAAGCTTTTTATCAAAGCAGGGAGCCACCACCACATGGAAAATCTGATCTGGGGTCAGCTTCTACAAAGATAACACAGATTTGGTGCCTCATACAGCCACCACTAATAAGAAATGGACAGTTTTACATGGTAGTGATACAGGCGATACAGTAAATACAAAGGTCTACAGGCAGTGTGTCCACATTTTTGACAAATACATTTCTATGACTTTTGGAAAATGATAATCACAATTTCTCTACTAATATTTGGAATATATTTTAAATATTACACTCAGTATAAAAATGAACATTTTAGAGCAAAGCAAAACAGGTTTTCCAGTGAGCCATAGAAACCTCTCACCTGTTGTCTGGCAAAAAAGTCTTTGACCAAGGAGCCCATGATCTGTTGAGGTGATCTTGCGGTGCAGATGTGTGGTGTGACCAGGCTACCAAGAACACGCTCTGCATAGCGAATCCATCCTGCGCAAAACACACACACAATTGCTCATTTAATAAATGAATATTTATATATCTCTCTAATCTTTAGATGTTTACTACATACAGCAACTAGTGACAACAGTAAGCAATACTGACAATACTGATTTGATATTCTCATACCAAAAACAATGTGTAGTTAATTTTTTACATTACTATTTTTGAGGAAAATGAAAGTGATAATAATAATATGAGATTTATTTATATTTGACCAAAATGCAAGCTCTGACAATAATTCAGTAGTTACGCACGAAACAAATCATGACAAAATTACTGTACCTTGAACCCATATACGGTACTACAGTTAAAAACATATATATATATATATATATACATACTGTCATTGAACTAAATATACTGCAAGTCACACTGACTGGATAAACACATCAGCTGAGTGAGTTAATAATCATCCATGATGAAAATGAAATAATAGCCACTGAGAGCGAGGAGGAAAGTTGTTAAAAGTGCAGGAAGGGTGTGTGAGGCAGCTTTCACTCATCTATCTCACAGCTGCAGAATGCTGTGGCTATCTAACACAGTCCCACCAAATATTATATTACGATATTATATATTTTTGGTCTATCTGCACACTAATAAACATATCTGTACATTTATCTAAACAATTAAATTTTTTCCAATACTTCTATTTCTGTATATAGTACTTAAAAATAAAAAATTTATATTAGTGTTATATTACATCCCTACTGTGTTATTCCTATGCATGTCTGCACTATCATGTATGTCTGCACTATGTTTGTACTTTCTTCTACACTGGAAGCTCCTGTCGTCAAGTCAAATTCCTTGTGTGTGTAAACATACTTGGTAATAAAGCTCTTCTGATTCTGAGGAGAAATAAATCTATATCATTTGGCCTAAACCAGTTGCTTGTTAATAATTGATCTGAAAAGGTAACAGGAGAATGAGCCCAGTGTCTCCTCACAGTCTTACCTGACGTAAGCACACAGTCGACAGCTCTGGTCTCTAGGATGCTGTTGTAGAATTCCTCTCTCACAGCTTCAAGCTTTTTATCAAAGCAGGGAGCCACCACCACATGGAAAATCTGATCTGGGGTCAGCTTCTACAAAGATAACACAGATTTGGTGCCTCATACAGCCACCACTAATAAGAAATGGACAGTTTTACATGGTAGTGATACAGGCGATACAGTAAATACAAAGGTCTACAGGCAGTGTGTCCACATTTTTGACAAATACATTTCTATGACTTTTGGAAAATGATAATCACAATTTCTCTACTAATATTTGGAATATATTTTAAATATTACACTCAGTATAAAAATGAACATTTTAGAGCAAAGCAAAACAGGTTTTCCAGTGAGCCATAGAAACCTCTCACCTGTTGTCTGGCAAAAAAGTCTTTGACCAAGGAGCCCATGATCTGTTGAGGTGATCTTGCGGTGCAGATGTGTGGTGTGACCAGGCTACCAAGAACACGCTCTGCATAGCGAATCCATCCTGCGCAAAACACACACACAATTGCTCATTTAATAAATGAATATTTATATATCTCTCTAATCTTTAGATGTTTACTACATACAGCAACTAGTGACAACAGTAAGCAATACTGACAATACTGATTTGATATTCTCATACCAAAAACAATGTGTAGTTAATTTTTTACATTACTATTTTTGAGGAAAATGAAAGTGATAATAATAATATGAGATTTATTTATATTTGACCAAAATGCAAGCTCTGACAATAATTCAGTAGTTACGCACGAAACAAATCATGACAAAATTACTGTACCTTGAACCCATATACGGTACTACAGTTAAAAACATATATATATATATATATATACATACTGTCATTGAACTAAATATACTGCAAGTCACACTGACTGGATAAACACATCAGCTGAGTGAGTTAATAATCATCCATGATGAAAATGAAATAATAGCCACTGAGAGCGAGGAGGAAAGTTGTTAAAAGTGCAGGAAGGGTGTGTGAGGCAGCTTTCACTCATCTATCTCACAGCTGCAGAATGCTGTGGCTATCTAACACAGTCCCACCCATTAACACACAACCCACACTTATTGCACCACATTTGACATTTGGCTCTTATCTACATTTAGAGACAAAATGTTTGAGAAACGTGCGTGCGTGCGTGCGTGAGAGAGAGAGAGAGAGTCTAAGAGTTCTAAGACAGGGAGTCAGCTGTCTTAACCGTAGCTTGTGTACTGCGCAAACATACCAGCTTCATCACTGTGTCTGTCACGCAACTCTGTTCCCCTTTCGGGCTCTGTCTTTGCATTTATTTTGAAAGATGAAGCTCGCGATTATGGTAAGGGGCGTTACATTTCCGACGAGTGCTTGCGGTGTTCGGCCAATCACAATGCACTGGGTCAGCTGGCCAATCAGAGCAGACTGCGCTTGTCGGAAGGAGGGATTTGGTAGAAAACGAAGCGTTTGAGAGAGGCGGGGCATAGAGGACCTACAATAATGTACAGTATTTGAAAAATAATGTGTTTTTTGAACATTAAAGCATGTCAACATATTCTGTTACACCAAATCTTTAAAAAAGCATCATATGACCCCTTTAAGACAGTTAGTCAGATTTAGTCAGATTGCACGTGGCAAATGTTTACTACAATGTGTGAACATTTTGATTAAGGAGGTTGGCAAAGTGACTGTGACTTCAAGGCAAATATGGTGTCCAGACATACCCACACTCTTTAGGAAGCCACAGAGTTTCTTTGCAGCCGCTGGAACATCCAGCTGAAATTTAATAGCAAAAAATGGCAGCGACTGGGGACACACAGACACCACGAGAATTTTGTGCTTCGAAGTGTCACATTTCTGCCAAAGACATAAAAATAACAACATGAGATACGTCCACACAGATCATCTTTTCCGATTCTGACATTTTCCAGGCTTACACTACCTTATTGAGGGCAAGCACGTGGTTGATCTCATCCAGATTTTGCTGAGAAATTCTCTGGCCTTCGTTCTCCGATACACAGCCGTCACAGGCCAGACACGCGCTCAACAACACCTGGTGAACTGAGGTAGACTCTTTCACCTGAGGAAAAACCATGAATCAGATTATCAACATCCACACGTCCAAAACAAACATCCTCCCGCAAACCCAACACAAACAAAACAACAGATGCAAAGCACAGCTTATCAGATGAGTGCAACTCAATGAGTGTGTCTCACACACATTAAATATATATAAAAATGAGAAATACCTCTCCAGTGGCAACACCTTTCTCTTGCAGTGAGTTTATTCCTTCATCACTCTGTTTCTTGTTGCACTAAGAGGTGGAATTGAGGAGAAAATAAACAGTGATTAGTGACTAAGCAATACACGGGTGACATAAAATAAAGCATGAGAAGAGCCTCTGAGTCAGACAGAAACCAAAACAGGATACACAAGTATTAAATGGATTTATTACCTGTTTAGTGCAATTCTCACACTTTTCTTTTTTCCGTCCTATACTGACTTCAGACATTGTATAAGGAGCTCCTGATATGTTCAGTGCCATAAATCATTCCCTGTAAAAGATAAAACCGTCTCACTGCAGCTTTCTGTATTTATAGAGAATTCTGGACGTTATATGACACCAACACACATATTTATCCTAAAGATGGGGGTTAGAGTTAAAATACGGTTATAAAAAGCCCGTTATTAACCTCAAACATACACCTAAGCACCAATTTAAGGGAAAGGTGATAATTTTAGGTTCCCATGATGTGCTCCATTCAATTCCACCTGATTGTTGTTTTGAGGATCTCTCATGCTTTTGTACATAATCACAGGTTAAGCGTTTGGATTACATTCCTTTCTCAGCATGTAATAGGGTAAAGTTAATAAATAAACATTATCAAACACTCTGAGGACTCGTGAGATAACCCGTGACATTACTTAACCACCTGTCCTATAACCTAACGTTACCGACTGTCTGTGTACTAAATAACCTAACCCTAACTACAACAAAACACAAACAGGCCACCCAACTCACATAAAAAAATCACATGAAGCCCTTATTGTTCAGGGGGAAACCCTGGAGACGAAACAGCAGTAACGTTAGGTCTTTACAGCAGGAACTTCTCCTATTGACACTTGAAAGCGCGAGCTGGTCATGAGGATCAGGAACAGCGCACTGCGGTCATATAACACTGATGTTCATCCATTCATCCGTTCACAACCCCGGCTAATCCTAACGGTACATGTTCGAGGTAGAAGGATCTCGGCTCGTCTTGACTCCGGCGCATTCAACTCCATTGTCCTTTGACGCGGTGTCCGATTCGTGAATGAACCGTCCTTTTGAGTCGGATCTTTTTAATGAATCGCTTGATCCGTTGAACCGAGTCACTGATTCATTGAACCAATCATGTCCGATTTGTAAAGATTTATGATTCATGATGATTAAACGACATTGTCGTACGTTCGACTCGCTGTGACCCCGGTTACAGCTTTATTGTTTAAAGTGCAAATTCTATTTATCTAAATGACTTTATTACGAGTCGAATCATGGCTGCAACAAAATGAACAAGGGACATAATAAATTTACAATAAGCATCCCTTCCCAGTTAACACAGCTTAAAGGGGTCATATGATGCTTTTTTAAAAGATCATTATTTGGTGTATTTGGTGTAACAGAATATGTTGACATGCTTTAATGTTCGAAAAACACATTATTTTTCAAATACTGTACATTATTGTAAGTCCTCTATGCCCCGACTCTCTCAAACGCTTCGTTTTCTACAAAGTCCCTCCTTCTGACAAGCGCAGTCTGCTCTGATTGGCCAGCTGACCCAGTGCATTGTGATTGGCCGAACACCGCAAGCACTCGTCGGAAATGTAACGCCACTTACCATAATCGCGAGCTTCAGAATTACCTCCTCTCCTCGGTTCACGAAATGGTCGTCCATAAAATGCATTGCTGTTCTGTTGTAAGTAATCTTAAAGATTTCTAAATGCATCTACTTTCGGAAGGCCAAATAAAGTGCTTTTGCTTTCGCCTCGAAACACACAGCGTCTCCCTGACATGCTGCATCAACACTAACTGCGGTTACTGAAACCACGGCTTCTTTCTTTGCGTGCACATTTGGGCGGCATTATGCTAATATTTCCACATAGTGAGATAGATATGTGGGGGCGTGTTAGAACGAGCCGTTTTAGGGGGGCGTGGCCGAGTCTTAACTTTGATAAAGAATATCTCTTTGGTTTTGAGACTTTAGTCTTTGCAACTTCAGGGATCTTATCTATGCACAACCAGCTTGTAACACTCCAGAGAGAAAGGACAACTTGAAATCGCATCATATGACTTAATAGAAAAATGTGCCTACACTACAGTCATATGCCAGCTATGCCACACACCGGTATGTCAGTGACTACCAGTGTTGGGGAATGTTACTTTTAAAAGTAATGCATTACAATATTGCGTTACTCCCTAAAAAAAAGTAACTAATTACGTTACTTAGTTACTTTTTATGGAAAGTAATGCGTTATATTACTTTTGCGTTACTTTCGTGTTACTTTTTAATTATAAGCAGGGCTTGATTGTTTTTAATATAAGAAGTTCTATTTATAGCAAATATAAAAGCCCTTTCACACCAAAAAGTGTAATGAATAAACCTCTGAAGCAAAAGTAAATTCACGTCTGTACAGTTGAACGCAGGAGAAGAAACACTCTTCAGCAATAAAAAAAACAAAGCACAATTGTTAGTTTATCTAAAGTCATTTTTGCCTATTAGTATGGTTGAACTGGATCATCAAAGGTCAGCAGCAAAGACATTAGTTAATAAAATGGGATTAGATGCATTTGTGATATTTAACATATTTAATTATTGTAGGTTTGCGTCATATTCGGAGTTTGCATTTCACTGTTTTAATTCATTTTGATGAATACTAAATCTGTTTTTTGCGAGTGGGATGAATTAATGCAGATTCACATTTAGTCTAGAACTACATCATGTTCACACAGCGCACACAACGCCTCTGTACTCCACATTTCTCCCAATATGGGGACAGGAGACTTGTCAGTCAATAAATGGGAAAACAAAGTAACTGGCGTTACTTTTTTGAAAAAGTAACTCCGATATTTTCTTGTAAATTAAAAAAGTAATGCGTTTCTTTACTAGTTACTTGAAAAAAGTAATCTGATTACGTAACTCGCGTTACTTGTAATGAGTGACCCTCAACACTGCTGACTACGTGATGGACGTAAAAGAACCTCTGAGTTGTCTCGTTGAACCGGTTCATAGAATCGAACTGTTTGAAAGAGCCGATTCGCGAGATTGACTCCTTGCCACGCATGCGTAAATCAGCAACTCTGATGTTAATTCCTCCTGAACCGCTCAAACAATGCTTGACTTCCTGTAAATAATATTTGTAATCGTATATTTTGGGATAGTTATGCCATATATGACATTTTAATAAGTACATTGCATCAGTTACTAAAACAGTTGGGATTTTATAGACATTTCCAACCATGGGTTAACTGTAAATGCAGACTTAAAATAATCACGCACTTGTTATTCTTTTCATACATATATTTCAGATTTCAGACTCGAGCTCTGGTCACAATCGTGCAGGAAGGAGGCGTCCTTTAGAGGGCGGGCTCCTTTAATAGATTTTATCCAATCAGAATGGAAACCGCTGAGCGGAAATCAACGTCATTTGAAGGCGGGGTTATGCGCGTTGCATGATCTACACATTTGATTTCCTTAATCTGTTTTGCCCCAGTTTTCTATTGCAAATTTCCTAAATTTAGATTTGATATCTTTTGAAAATAATAAGATTTATTTGTCTGAAAGAGGAACGCGACTTATTAAGGTAAGTAAGATGTCAGATTCACATGCTGTCAGTTAATGGCAGGGCATCTGTGATCACATTAATGAGGGCGTTGTCCTTGAGCCATTTCAAACGTATATGAAACTGATCGGGTTTATTATGATTATATATAGTATGCTGTTCATAATCATCTTTGTGCAGTATCAAAGGTGAGCCTTCCGTTGTACAAAGCTGCTGCCAGTATTCTGGCATGTTATGATGAGTGCAGTGAGGATATCTCCAACTAGATCTTTTATGTGTATTTTTGTGTTGCAAAACATTTAAAAAATGTATTTTCATAGATGGGTTACATGGTCGTGGAGAAACACACATCTGATCTTCTCCATCTGAAGAGGTCTCCTGGGATTAGATCATGGTCCCTCCTTGTTGGTATGAGATCATTTTTAAAGGGGAATTTGGTGACTAGAAGTGTGTAATCTTAACATGTGCAACATGTGTACAGTATCTTTAAATGGCTTCCTACTTCCTCTTTTTGCAGGAATTGCTTCAGTTGGACTAGCAGCAGCCTATTACAGCGCTGGTGAGAAATGTTTCCTGAATGTCTAATAACCCTGGAAGAGAATAAAACAATGAAAGGAAGGATTTTTGTGATCTGTGTTGCTCATTTAGCGTTGTCCTTTTGTTGTAGACAGCATATTATGGAAGATGTTCTATGTGACTGGCTGTTTTTTTGTAGCCCTACAGAATATGGAGGAATGGGAGGTGAGAGATGTTTTACACACACTACATCCGTCTTTAAGTGATGTATTCAGCTGTCCTGACTAACAGTCTGTTTCGTTTTGTCCTTAGGAGGCAGTATTTGACAAATCTAAGAGTGAGATCGAATTAAAGACGTTTAGTGTGTTATGTTTTTAGATGTTTTAAAAATGTAATTCATTCCTGAGATCCAGTCTTCAGTGTCACATCATCCTTCAGAAATCATTCTAACATGTTGGTTTGCTGCTCAAGAAACATTTCATCATTAATGTTGAAAAAAAATGGTTGTTCTGCTTAGGTTTTTTTTTTTTTTTTTTTTTTTTTTTGAAACCGTGATACACTACCACTTAATTGTTTGGACTAAGTAAGATTTAAAAATACATTTATAATGATATAAAAGATATCTATTTCAAAGAAATGTCCTTTTGAATTTTCCATTCAAAGAATCCTGAAAAAATGTCAACTAATATTAAGCAGCAAAGACGTTTTTTAACATCGATAATAATAAGAACCATTATTAATATTTGACCACCAAATCAGAGTATTAGAATGATTTCTGATGGATCATGTGACACTGAAGACTGGAGTAATGGATGCTGAATATGCAGCTTTTTTGAAATATATTAAAATAGATATTGTAACAATAAATAACAATATAACAAGTACATATGTATATTAAAAACATCCTATTTTTTTATACTAAAATAGTACTTTTCAGGGTACTCAAAAAAAAGCTTTACAAGAGATAAAAACAGTAAAGAAGTACATTAATAGCATTTTTTTCTTACATTCAGTGATGTGGAGGCACTTGCTGCACTTCTGAAGCGCTTCTTGGGTCTTGAAGAGTTACAGCGACGTTTGGCAGAAGAAGAGCTTCCTGATGATGACGACATTGAAGATCTGGGATTGGGCGATAGCAGTGATTCAAAAGATGAAGATGAACTTTAAAAACCTCAGAGATAGATGGAAAATGGTGGAAGACACTGTATCAAGCCTTACATGAAACAACCAAACATTCCAGGCTTACGAACACCCTGATGACAATCTCAAAGCATTATCTGTTATTGTGGCATTGCATTTCACTTGCATCTTCAAAGAGGCATTACCAGATGACATTCAGCACTTCTGCAAGATTTCTCTGTATACTTTGCTGCGTGCATAACTAATTCGACAGATTGTAAAATAACCGCATGAAGAATTCCCTTTCTTTGGTCAAAGATCAGGTGGTCATGTGCTCTGATCCTCCATGCACGCCCACTCAAGTTCACACTGTGCCTTTATACACTGCTTGAATGTTAAGCCCTTAGTGGTTTGTGATTTTAATTTTCTTTTTGTAAATGTGTAAATATTATTTTTGATTCCAAATCATCAGGACTCTCAAGCAAGAAAAATAATTTTAAACACATGGCAGCTGCTTCGAAATCAATTGTCTTCAAAGGGGATGGTTTTTAAAATTGATGTGGCCATTTTTTTTAAATTAGATAACGAGTATACTTTGTTACACATTTCACTTTTGTTTATAATAAAATCATTTGATAACATTGGTTTAAACTGGATTATCATAGCTTTTAGTTTAGCTTGGTTGCATAATCATTAAATCTGTAGGACTGGAATATTCAATGTGGTTGGGGAAAAAACAAACCAGTAGACTCTAGATGTGTTATGTTAGTAATAGCTTTTTTTATTGGACTAGTACAATAAATACTGGAAAAATGACAGTAAAAGAAAAATAATTCAATAATAGAAAAACAAACACTATAGCTCTAAACATCGAAAGAAATCACAATTCGTCACTGACTTGAACACTTAAGTCTCAGAAATGTGTTGTGATTTACTTTCTAACAGGAGACCTTCCTCTGTTGTGACAGAAAGATAAAGTCATTCATCCCCAATTTCACTCCTACACCAAATAACACTTCATTCTTACAAGATTTAGACTAAACTATGAAATGATTTGCACTGTATGAACTGAGTTTGTGTTTAATGTGGACCTAGCCACAAAAATGTACTACAACTAACGCCTTAAGTACTAAAGCAGTCAATTAATTACAGATCATTTTGGGAGAACATATACATCTGAGAGACACCTGGAACAAGTCCTCAAAAAGAGGATTAGAAACGTCAATACAATATTAATACTCCAGTTATTGGTCTACAGTTAAGCAGCGAAGCCGCTTGATGATTCACTCTGGATTGCCAAGCATTTCACATCAGTGTCATATTTGCATTTTGTTTTTAGCTTGTGCAATAGTTAGACAATATGTATTTTTTTAAGTAACAAATATTCCATAATTAACTCCTAACTTCAATGTAAACATTAATAAGAAATCAATTAACCAGATCTCTTAATGGTTACTCTCATCCAGGAATGTTCTTTTCATGAATATCTTCCCTTTTAAATACACATCAATTGCACAATTATTGCAGCATAATTTTGGATGTTCAGCAACAACAAGAGAACCAGCAAATATCATTCAGAGCAGAAAAACAATGCTACAGTAAACATAGGCGATTTTAACTAGTACTGCTAAAGCATCAGTAACCACTCACAATTGGTAAACAACAATCTCAGCTATGTGCGTAACTAGATTCCTGATGTCTAATATGTGAATTCGAATACAGCGAGGCCTTGACTTGCAGTCCGCATCATTAGGTTGGATATAGAAATATGTATGAACATGAATGCAGTTTTGACAGAACCTTTAGCAGACTTATGCAGGTTAGACAGGGTCAGTGATCACTACATCTAGGCACTACTTAGGGTAAATGGCACTTAACTACGCACCCATGCTAGAAATCAGTGATATTTTAGTTTTCACAGCAACGTATGATGATTTATAGAAGACAATGAATAGCTGATTGAATCTTAAACGATAAAGCAAGTAAACAGACATGCGCTTTTGTTCCCAGCGTGGAATATAAACGTTTAAGTGAGAAGTAAAGGGTGATAAGCAACTAAGAGGTCAAGAATGAGAAAGATGAGAAGGAAAAAACTGTCATGTGGGTGAGAGGTACGAAGAGATCACAAACGTGCATGCTTTAATATGCCAGGACACAGTTTTGGTTCGTCAGGTGAAACAACAGAGTAAGGGTGAAAAAAAGAAGTAAAAGATGTTTGCCAGAAAGGTTCAGCCCTCTCTGGTGCTGACTCTGGGTTCAGCCAGTGAGCTGTGGATGATGCCTGAGATGGACTCCACACCCTCTCCCTCTAGGAAGGTCCGATGGTCTCCCTCGATCACATGAACTGACACCTTCCCATCACACACCTGCAGACACAACCCAATCCAATTATTAACACTGCAGGGATGCAATATGGCAACAAACACAACAGCGAGCTTAAAGGTACAATATGTACGTTTTCACCGCTAGAGGGCGCATATTCAAAACAAACAAAGAAACAAAGGCGTAGTTTGATGACTCCGTGACTTGAGTGTGGAATCATGGGAGTTGTTGTCTTCATCCCCACAGCCGACGCAATCCGACGGGACTCAGGCAGAAATCATGTTCATGGATGAGCTAATGTATTAAAGATTTATTAACATCGTAGTATGAAGCAGAGTGAGGCGGAAAGACGTCGAAGCGAAACGAGGCCGCTGAAGCAACTGCTAATGAGAGACGAGAGTGACACGGCTTTTATTATGCCACACTTTAGCGCTTCCGCTCCTTCCGGTCGTGCGTATGTGGGGTAAAGCGGGTTAGATACGTTTGAAAGTTCTGTTATAATGCTACTCTGTATGGTCGTCACCCGTCTAATAAAACGCACAACGTATTAAAGCGTCTTTGGTGTTTCCATGTTTTCTACAAAACAAAACCGGAAATCGAGGATGTATGACGTCATTGGCAGGCGACACAATGACACTATAGACGCGATCCGTGTCACTAGTTAAAATTGCTTATTTCTCTGGATTTAAACATTCTTCGAAACATTTGGGATAATGCAAGTACACAAGTCAGCAAAATATATAACACCGTTCTAGTGGTTTTTAGATATTTTAATTTTAAAAAATCGTACATATTGTGCCTTTAACGTCTTTCTCTCAGCATGATCTCCTTCCCAGATTCAGAAGTACTTCCTGTGCAATTACCTTAACAATGCTTCCTGCACACAGGAAGGACTAGAGCTAGGTCTCAAAGGTACGGAGCCCCGCACATGACATGCAAGAAAAATGTATAAATCATGCGCATGATTTACTAATTCGTTCCCTCGACGTACTAAAACGTGCACACGATTACCATTTCGTTCCCTCGATTTGCTAAATCGTGTGCACAATTTACTAATTCGCTCTCTCGATTTATAAATCGTGTGCACGATTTAGCAAATCGAGGGAATGAATTTAGTAAATCGTGCGCACAATTTATAAATCGAGGGAACGAAATTGTAATCATGTGCACGTTTTAGTACATTGAGGGAATGAATTAGTAAATCATGCACACAATTTATAAATCAAGGGAACGAAATAGTCAATCGTGCGCACGATTTAGCCTACTATTTTTTTCCTGCATGCCATGTGCGGGGCTCCATACAAAGGTGATCACAGTATGAAATGTCTTCAAATTTTGCTTTTTTCCTCACAGGGTCCGAATCTGTTCTTGTTTGTGGAAACACTGTTGCTGGTAGCTAATATTGTTTTATCATTGTTCTGTTAAAGATTTTATGATGATTGTATTTTCAAAATATAAATAGTACTTTTCAATGTATAAAATATGCATCTTTTTTTCATTAAATTTACCTAGTAGAATCCAGTTCTTGATTTACCAAAAAAACAAAACACAGATTTAACCATTTTCACATAATTATAAAATAGGTTTGTCTAAAAAAAAGAAAGAAAAAAAAGTATCCCTGATAGCTTGAAGAACTAGTACCATATAAAAGGTTAAAAAAAATATTCAGTAATATTACTAAAAATGATATGTTTAAAATAAAATATGTATTTCAAATAAATGCTGTACCCACAAAAATACGAAAAAAAAAAAAAAAATCTACTGTGAAAATAAAACCTATGCACCAAATCAGCATATAAGAATGATCTCTGAAGGATCATGTGACACTTAAGACTAGAGGATTATATCTGTGGTCCATATCTTTACCTCGTGCAGTTTGTAGTCAGATCCTAAACCATCACCGTACTCGCTGCTGGCCTTGGCTCTCAGCAGGGTGACATTGCCGTGATACTTGGAAGTTGGAACATAGCGGTCGGCTGCCTTCAGTTTGTGGTAAAATGTAGAGGCAGCAAAATGGAGCATATCTCGGCTGACATTTTTATGGCTGGATGTGATCAGATCAACAGCCTTGTTCACACGAGCCTCCAGGTCTGACAGAGGTAACAATGTCTCCAACAGCTATGTGAAAGTTTAAGGATACAGAGACAGCATTAGCACTGAATTAATGTAACTGAACTGTAGTTAAGATACAGTCTATTTAGAAAAGACCATTTTAAATCAATTAAATGGTCAAAAATCTTTTAAAGACTGAACCACAAAGTAACAGTTGTTCACGTACCTTGTTGTACTCAATGCCAGTGAACTGTTGGATAAAAGCACACAGAGCTTCAGTCTCAGCCTCGGACTCTTTTCCAGGGGTCAGTTTGGCTCTGTAACTCTGTCAAAGAAAAAACTAAAATGATGACCATGTAACCTGGCATACCAAATTTTTCTGTTTTGTGCTTTCTGAGCTCTTTTATGGCACCTGTGTATAAGCTGCCACGTAAGAGTGCGAGCCGTCAAACAGGAAGAGGTATTCCACTGGGCATTTGGCTCCCTGCAGCTGTGAGCACATCTCAAAAGCCACACATGCACCGAACGAGTAACCAGCGATGCGATACGGCCCCTCTGGCTGCACCTGCCTCACGCACTCCACGTAATAAGTGGCAAGACTCTGGATACTGTCTAGAGGAGCGGCTGCAGATGGACAAAACACATAAAACAGAAAAAATGTAATGGGACTGAAT